TAAATAAATAAATAAAAATAAAATAAATAAAAAATAAATAAAATAATGAAATAAAAAATATAAAAGAAATAATAAATAAAAAATTTAATAAAATAAATAATAAAATAAAAAATAATAAAAATAGAAAAATAAAACAAATAAAGAAAAATGAAAAAAAAAAAAAATAAATAAAATAAAATTGTATAAAAATTTAATAAAATAAAAATTCGGACCAGTTATGTAATAAAATAATCGAGTAGCATAAATAGCAATTAATATATTTTTGGAAATATATAATATAATTTATATAATATCTAAAAAAAATAAAATAAAACAATTTAATAAATAATAAAATCAAAAAATATAATATAAATGTAAAAAATTAAGGTGTGTTTGTTGTTCACTATAATGAATAACAATACAGCACATATAGCAATTAATTTTATTGTAAAATCTAGCATTTCTTTTATGTTTTTAATTAAATAAAACAATGTTAAACAGTAAAAAGAAAAAAAAAAACACTGTAACAGTATATATGTATTTACTATCATTTGAAGGGCATGTGTAACTGATTTTAAAAGCTCACCCGCTGGTTTTAATTTTGCTCCATCAATATCCAAATCCACTGCTTTACTGACAAGGATACCAGACTCATAACCAGACTCTCTGCTCTCTGTTTCCAGAAAAAAGAAGACACAAATCCACAACAAGGTCACACTGACATTCTTTTGCTCTGTTTCATTAAACTAATTCAATCAGCCATGATTTGAGTATAAAAAATGCTGTTGCTGCAATCCTTCTGACAACACCTGCCAAGCAAGACATTACATCTGATATCCAAAAGTAAATAAGAGGATTTCTATCTGCTTTCACCTTCAGCCTAAATGCTAGAACATTCTGTAAACCCCAAAACCAGGCATTCCCAAAGGCTTACAATACTGGCCAAAAGTTTGGGATCTGTACAATGTTTTAAGGTTTTAAAAGAAGGCTGTCCTGCTCATTTATGCAGCATGTATTTAAAATACAGTAAATAAATACAAATTGTGAAATATTATTATGTAACAAAGTTTCAATTGTGTGGGTGAGGAAAAAGACAAGGTCGGCAACTCAGGTAAGATATATATATATATATATATAAATATAATGTAACTTTTCAACTAGAGGACGTATAGCATACTTTCTCAGGCTCATCGTCTCTGCATCCCAATCACTGCAAAGACACAGATGTTAGTAATATTCTTGATTTTACCTACTTTTCAGCCACCGGTCCCCCTTAACGTTTAACCATGCCCTGTTTGTAATATATTATAATATTTAAGATAATTGTTTACTTATTAAATGTTGCTTATAAATGTAATTTATTGTATAATAAATTATAATAAACTTATAATACACCCTTTTCGCAATGACGTCACTTCACTTTCACCTATCCACAATGCAGTGTGTTTTTAGTTCCAGTTTACCATTGAATGAATGGGATACTTCTCTGAAAAATTTACAGCTGAAAATTCAAACGTTGGGGGGGGGTGGGTGAAACGGTGGCTCAGTGGTTAGCACTGTCGCCTCAAAGCAAGAAGGTCGCTGGTTCGAATCCCAGCTGCGTCAATTGGCATTTCTGTGTGGGGTTTGCATGTTCTCCCTGTGTTGGCGTGGGTTTCCTCTGGGTGCTTCGGTTTCAAAGACATGTGTTAGGTGAATATAATAAACTAAATTGGCCATAGTGTATGTGTGGATGAGTGTGTATGGATGTTTCCCAGTACTTGGTTGCAGCTGGAAGGGAAGTTGGTGGTTCATTCCACTGTGGTGACCACTGATAAATAAAGGGAGTAAGCCGAAGGAAAATAATTGAATGAATGAACGAATGAATGAATGAACGAGTGAACGAATGACAGGAAAAAGAAACATTTCAAACTTCAATAAAGAAATATAATCACATTTCACATTTCCAGTTTTTACTGTATTTTGGATTAAATAAATGCAGTTTTGGTGAGCAGAAAAGGCTTAGTTTAGTATTCATTTGTCCTAACATAGGTAAATTATGTTACGTACTGCAGGTTCTCATGCAAGTTTTGGAAAATAAAATATAAAACTAAAGTAATTATTTTATGGACACATTCATTTGTTCAAAGTAAATGTAATACATGAATAAATATACCAAAAATGCTGCTATTAAAAAAGACTAACATGTATCACAGCTGCCAAAAAATAGTATGAAGCAGGAGAAAGGTTTTCAACCTTGATAATTACAGGAATCATTATTCACAATGATGAGTATATCAGTTATTGATCATAACAGAACAGCAAACCAGCATATAATTCAGCTTAAAGATTTCTAAAGGATCACAAGACACTGAATACTGAAGTAAATCCAGCTTTTTAACACATAAATAAATTAGATTTTAAACTACATAACAAACTATAACCATTGAGTATGTTTACATGGACACCAACAGTCCGATTTGGAAACGCTTAAAACAATAATCTGATTAAGAGTCTACCAAGTAAACAGCCATTTTTAATTAAATTAATCTGATCAAGATTATAATTGAACTAAACAAATCAGATTAAGACATGTGGAGTAAGGTGATTTAAGTCGCATAATTAAAGTGCAGTACAGACATAAACTATTATCATCATGTAGGATTTTCACCATATTTCATGTTTTCTGATAGGATAAATTTTACACACAGCTGTTTGACACTATTTTCTGTCACTATCGAGTCAGTAAAGTACCCCAGACACACACTCAGTGAAATGCGTAGGTTTTTTCTTTGTGAAATTCCATTAAAACAACACTCTTCCAGCAGTTCATACTCGCATCCAATATCTTATTTGCCATGAGGGGCATGTATGAAATGTTCCTGAATGAAAGTGAAAGTAACAAACTGCAGTTCAAGGCGACAAATTAAAAATGAAATACCCGAAATTACATGAAACTCATGTAGTTCTTTTCTAAAACAAAATCTGTCAGTGTTATTTTCAGTCTCTCATCTTCAGCGCTTCACATTTTTGCGGTTGTAGCTCCTGTCACCCAAGGTAGAAGGCATTGACAAAGGGATTGACAGCTGATAATAACCAATCATTTGCATTCTGTTTTAGAGCAGTGGACCAATAAGAAGAGCACAAAGGTGGGGCAAGCATTGCAGGGCTTTTTTTTTTTTACTTCATCAAGTTCACATAACAACTGTTTATCTTTTCCTGAGTGCTGCATTTGCCGTTCTTAAGTGCAAAGATGCATTCTGCATAAATGTTTCCTAAATTCACGCATGAGGAGGATTTTGAAGTGAAAACAGAGAAAATGCATGCAATCGCCCAAATGCTTCTAAATATATTTTAAGGTTGCATAAATAAAATTTCGGGCGCATATGCAACCAAAACAGTTGAGCACTAGTATCTTTACTTGTTATTATTTCCTCATAATAATAATACTAATAAAAAAAGGGAGTTATCATCAATCACAACAATAATTACAATGAACTCCAAACAAAGTCTCCTCCACCAGCTGGGGAAAAGCCATTATAACGATACAGATCACTGCCTATTCATGCCAGAGTCACGCGGAAAAAAAAAGTGATTGACAGGTGGTTATTTGCGTGTAACTTTAAGAGAAAACGTGGATAGGGCGGTGACGCAATGTTGTTCGTTTAATTATATGTTATAACATGTAAAACGAGAACATGAAAGGAACATTCAAAAAGTAACTCATGTTAAGACCTTAATCATATTATTGTCTTATTTAGATTGAGGCAAATAATTTGATTACTGACGCCCATGCAAACGTCACCATATTTTAGTGTATTTTGTATCAAATAAATGCAGCTTAGGGCACAATATACTTAATTTAAAGCACTTAAAAATTGTAATGATCCTAAACATTTGGATCGAATGTACATTTTGGTGCATGTGTGTTTCTGGAGCATGTGTGTGTGTGTTATTGGTGCAGACCACACGTGCGTGGATGCGAGGTAGCCTCATTGAATGGTAATCCCCCAGTAATATAAGCTTTCTCCACCTTGGCAGAAGATCTGTAGGTGTGTGTTTTAGAGTAGATGAACAGCTGTCTCAGTAAAGCTCCGTGCCAAAGAGAGCACACGTCTGTCCAAATGTTCCGGAGGAGCGGTTTTAAGTGTGTGTTTCTTACTGTTGACGTATGGGGCAGTGAAGATGTAGATGTCATTGTCCAGACTCCTTTTGTAGAAACTCGAGTCGTACGTTTCGGAGTTTTCACCCCATTCCTCACCAGCACTGAGGAAGAAGCATTGTAAACATTAAATCATTTCAGTGATCAACAATTAATGATAAATTGAAAAAAGTTCAAATGTGAATCAAAATAACTTGAAAAAAATCATTAAAGAATTACTTAACTTTTTAATATTTATTCCTTCTTTCATTCATTTTTTATTTTTATTTTTTTGGCTT